ACTCTGGTGAGGGTGTTAATGATTAATATTCCATTTGGTTTGTGGTTTGGAGTGCTATCTTAAGTACTGTATTTCCAGAGGACTTTCTACTTTCTGTTTTTTTTTTTCCTTTGTCATGGACAAGCGATTGTAGAATCTGCAGTCTCTGGAGAGGTTGTCTTCTCCAGATGGTGGGTGGTGTACAGATGAAGGATATTTGACCAGGAGTTATTTTGTTGAAGCTGGGAGGTGGGTACAAGGGGTTTGATGTAGTAAACTTACATTATGGCAGTTTACACAGTTAATATGGCATGTTCAGGTTTGATTTATACTTATTTGGTAATTCTGCCCAATTGCACTTCAGTGAGTCCATGGATTTGTTATCTCAGTTGCTATGGAATCATCTAAGGGAAAATATAAATATACAGTCATCCATCACTTAATGGCAGAGTTATAATGATAAATATGTTATTAGGTGACTTCTTTGTCCAAACATCACAGAGTCTAATTACACAAACCTGGATGGTATACCTAGCACACATCTAGTTATACCTAGCACACATCTAGGCTATAGGGTGAATGTGTGTGTGTTGTGTGTGTGTGTGTGTGTGTGTGTGTGTGTGTGTACATACATAAACTGGTAACATAGTCATTTGCTATCATTGTGAAGTAGTATGTCCTGAATGTAATTGTATGCTTACACTTATATGTGCTAGCTTATACAATTAAGTCTGGAGACTTTTGTACAATTGTTGGTGCAGTATATTTGTTTACACCAGCATCACCACAGACAATGCATATTCTATGAATGTTCTATGATGTCACTAGGCAGTATGAGCTTTTATCATCATTATTTTTTTTTAAAGAGAGAGTAAGAGAGGAGAGAGAGAGAGAGAATTTTTAATATTTATTTTTTAGTTCTCGGCGGACACAACATCTTTGTTGGTATCTGGTGCTGAGGATCGAACCCAGGCCGCACGCATGCCATGTGAGCGCGATATCGCTTGAGCCACATCCCCAGCCCTCATCATTATAATCTTATGTGTTCACCATCACTTTGTTGACCAAAATGTTGATATGTGGCAGATGATTATGCCCAGAATAAAGGGTTTAAGAAAACTAAAGATAAACTTGAAAGTTGGAGTAATTACTAAGAGATTATAAGATCTGCCAAGCACATATAAAAAATAAGCAAGAAGAAATGAATAATATAATTAGGAGTTTAGTGCCCGGGTCCAGGAACATATTAAGCAAGGCTAAACAGAATCACTGAACTAGATGGCTGTGAGGAAATCCGGGGGATGCAGCCAAGTGATGAAGGGGGTCAGGGGGCATGCAGGCGAGAGCTAAATGGTCTAAATGTGTTTAGTGAGAGTTCCAGAACAAGGCAGAGAGCATTTGACAAAATAAAAATGAGAACTTTCCAGAGCTGTTTGAAGACACAAAGAGCTCAGAAAGTGCCATCTATGGAAACTTAGGATAAATTTCAGGAAAAATGAGTAAAATCATGACTCCACACATCAGAACAGAAAACCAAATCATTAAGGGAAACAAAGAAAGATCACTGACAAAGGCATGGTGATTAGACTGACAGCTGACTTCTCAAGAGCAACACGGACACTGGAAATGGACAGCATCTTTAATGTGCTGGGAGAACATAACAGCCATTCTGCAATTTTCTCACTCAGTGACATTTTCTTTGAAAGAGGGTAAAACAGACATTTTCAGGATAACAAAAACTGGGTTTACCATCAGTTTCTAGATTTTCACTAAATATATTCTGGAAGTATATATTTAAGCAGAAGGAAGGTGATTTCAGGTGGAAGTTCTGAGTTGCAAAAAAGAATAATGAACAAATAAGAGTGCTAAGTATGTGATCAAACCCGAGTGAACATTGGCTATAAAGTAATGTAAAGTGGACTTCCCCCTTTCCCTTGGCTTCTCTTCTGCAATTTCTGTTGCCTGCAGCCAGGCATATTAAATGGAGGATTCCTAGAATTTAATAATACATAAGTTTTAAATTAACAATTCATAATGTGCCATCATGAGGAGCATGATGAAAGTTCTCGCTGCCCCTCTCCATCCTGCCCAGGATGTGAATCATCCCTTTATCCAGAGTATCCCTGTTGTATATGCTACTTGCCCTATAGTTATTAGTAGCCATATCATTTATCAGATCTATTGTGCATTATCACAGTACTTGTGTTCGTTGAATCCTTATTTTACTTAATGATGACCCCAAGATGCAATTATACTGATGCAAAGGAGGCACCAGAGCATACAACTTGGAAGGATAGATGAACTCTAGAACTATGTGGCTATGCTGCAGAGCATCTAGGAAAAAAGGAGTTTGTACAGTATAGGGTTACATACTACCTAAGGTGTTCAGGCATCCCCTGGGGGACTTGGAATGTGTCCCCTCCATGGAGAATGGGCTAATACTATATATATATTATGAAGAAAAAACAAACTAGAATTAAAATAGATGAGAATCAGAGAGTTTGAATGAAGTAAGGTTATTTCAAGGTCCTGGACTGTTCAGGAAAAGGGTAAATATACACATTAGCTTTATACATTGACAAGTTAAGGATGAATGTTACATTTTCAATGTATAGTTTTTCTCTTCACACAGTGAGTAATGGCTCCTGTGTTGATCTACAAATAAACCAAGGGCTTAGCACAAAGAGCTCAGAAACTACTGTATATGGAAACTCCATTTCCAACTGGCTGAACGTTACAAATGAGTTAGGAAAGCAATGGAGTATTTCCACATTTAAAAATGGAATTATATTTCTATCTTAGGCAAATATTTATCTGATACACAAAAATAAACTCCAGGTTCATTAAAAGATGTAAATGTGAAAGATAAAAACTATGATGTTTAGAAGGAAATACATGGAATAAGGTCTGTAGGAATAGGGCAAAGGAGTGTTTCATAACTAGGATATAAAAAGCATAAACTGTGATGTACAAACTAGATACTGATTGAACAATTTTGTTCATGAAAAGATTCCATATTTATAACAAAAAAAGCCCCAAACAGGGAGAAGATATTTACAAAATATAACTGGCAAGAAATGGCCTGGTCCACATGTGCCAAGGCTGGGCAGAACCAGCTGTGGTTGTGAGGAATTCTCCCCCACTCATAGCGGCTATATAATTAGGTACAGTTACTTTGGACAATAGCTTGACATTATCTCATCCAGCAGAAGATGCATATGTCTCTCACTCAGTGATACCATTCCTAGGCATATTTATGCCAGACAAACTCTTGTACATGTTTACCAGAAGATTTTTATGAGAATATTCCCAGGAGCATTGTTCATAGTGGGAGTACACATGCACACACAGGAAACAAAACTGAACAACTCCCAAAGGTAGGGAGGCATCTAAAGGCTTGATTTTTCAGAGCTTTGTCTAAATATCGTGTGAAAGTTTGTAAAATTAAAGCTATGAAGTCAGGCAAGGTAATACAGCTATGTAATACAGGCAAGGTAGTCAATGTGTGCTCTCTTCTATATAATATTCATTCATCTGGACTTTAAAGACATAAAGGGGCTATGCGATCACTTAAAACCTGGCTTATATCTATTTGCTTTGACTAAGTAAATCATTTATTCCTATGTAAAAACAACAACAACAATAATGACAAAAAACTAAATAACTCAAATGCTTGTCAATAGAATGAATAAACACATTAACATATATTCATATAATGGGATACCATGCAGCGGGAAAAAATGAATAAGCTACATTATCAACATGCACGAATCTTCAAAGGCTTAGTGTTGAATTAAAAAAAAAGGAACAAAATAATTCATCTGGGACAATTCAACTGATGTCAAGTATATAAACAGGCAAAACTGAGTCATGCATGCATAAAGGATATTCATATAGATAATATGTTAGACTGTAAATGACAGTCACAGGTCCCTCCTTTATCTATATGCATGTGTTCTTGGATTTGAGGGATATCTGGATCATTTCCTGGTATAATAATAACATTTTTTAAAAAAGGGGTTACTTCCGACGTGATTCTGCAATCTGCATTTGGGGTAAAAATTGGGAGTTCATAACCTACTAGAATCTAATGTATGAAATATGATATGTCAAGAGCTTTGTAATGTTGTGAACAACCAATAAAAAAAAAGAATCTCCTTCTTAAAAAAAAATTAAAAAACAAACAACAAACAAAAAGAGTAGGGATGTAACTCAGTGGTAAAACATGACTGGGTTTAAAAAAAAAAAAAAAAAGATTAAAGAGACCTAACAAGAAAACATATCTGTGATCATGGACTTGTTCTTGGGTCCAGAAAAAAGAAATAATAAAGACATAATTGGGGAAAGTTAAACACAGGAGGGTTATCAGTGAAATAATAAAGTTAAAAAATTTTTAAGTGAAAAAAAGGGGTTACTAAAATTGTGATACTGAAGTGTTTTTAATCCCCTGCACATTATCATTTTCAATATAACAGTCTTATAATACAATATACTTGTACCAATTACAAGGTTTGTAAAAAAAAATACCAACTTATGTTGGCACACTATAAGCTGTGTGGTTCAGGGCTGGGACACAGTTTTAACTGATGAGATGAATATCTTCTTTTGGTCCTGGAATCAGTCTCTGAAACCAAGTGTCTTCAAGTTCCTATTCAATCTCTAAATAGCCCCTTCACCCCTGCAACTGGGCCTGCCTGCGGGTGATTTCACCAGTGTTCAGTGTTAAAGCCAAGAACGTTGCATACTTATGTCACCTGATGAAGAGAGAGCACAAGGGAATTCTTCCCATATCAGGAATAACGTGTTGCCAAGGCAAATCCTGACTTCTACACAGCGTCACAGTAAAGCCTGACAATTTAAGGCAACAGCTTAGCTTCTGCTTCTAACCATGCACAATTTACGTGTTGAGGTCTAGTCTCAAGTGTCTGCCTAACAGGGCAAATCTGTTTCACTTCTGTGCAAAATCGACACTGACACAGTCAGATCCAATGAGCAGCGCTCCAAGCTCGCCCTCCACCTACCTCCACGGTCGCTTTCTCATCCCTCCAGACAGTGAGTTCCAGTAACACACCGCAGGCGACTCTCTGTTCCATGCTCGCACATGCGCTGTTCCCGTCTTCTCTGGCTGTCATCTCTTCCGCGAAGCCATTCCTGGGCTCCCACATTCCTTTCCAGGGCAGAGAGGTTTTCTAAGGATGTAAGATGTTCCGTGTCAAAATGGGGTCAAGCCATACTGATCTCTCCTGTGCACCTCTCTCAGGTCCAGCAGGTATGTGCACACACTTTGGCCCAATTCCTCTGTTTGTGGTAGGGACAGAGGAGGCAAGGCACCGAAGATAGCAGGAAACAGTTTTATTTGGCTGCAGCCAGGTTCAGAGGGCACAGCTTCTGCTGTAATCAATCAATCCCCTGAACCCTGAGTTCAGACAGTTTCAGAATTTTATAACCAGCATGTAGGAGGAGGGGCTCAGAAGTTCACATTCTGCTGAAGTTCACATAAAAGCAGTTTTTTTGGGTAGCTGGGAATATAGCTCAGTTGGTAGAGTGCTTTCCTGGAATGTACAAGGCCTTTGGGTTCAATCCCCAGCACCACCACCAAAAAAAAAAAAAAAAAAGACTTTCTTTCTTTCACTGTTCTGGGCAAGTTAACCCTTCAGGACAACACCTTCTCCCCTTTCTTTCCTCCCCCTGCCAGTTATTACCAGGGAGCCCAATTGGTAACTTTTCTTATCTTAGAAATGTAGACATCTCTGTGAAGCCCCAGCTCAAGGCCAGAGTCCTTGCTTAAACATTTCTACAAACTACTATACTGGAAACATGTTTGTGAAAAACTAGTAAGGGGTGTCCATCACCTGGAGTGTTCTTTTCTTCCCAGCCAAGTAAGACAGGGCAACAAGAAAATAGGAAGTTTATCTACATTGAACTCTTTTGCAGACTCGTTTGCTGACAGTCCTAAAATCAGCCATGGTGAAGATTTCTGGAGAAGCCCAGTTAAGACTTTTCTGTGGAGAAAGGGGATGACACTACATGTTGACCGAATGGGCTTGGGGCATGAGGACTCGGATGAGTCAGGAAGATAGACCCCTTGTGTCCTGACTTGGGTAAATGAGTGGGGACCCCCAAGGGCATCCCCTCTCAGGGCTGGGAGAGGGTTTGTGGGGCCATGTGACTGGGAACATGGTTGTGGGCTTGGCCAGTGTGCAGCGCCTGCATCGGAACTAAGTGAAGAAGATTGCTGGGTATTCTGTTCTGGAGAGGCTGAGGGGACCTAACAAGCTATGTAGGAAGGTTTCCTCCAACTTATTGAGTCCCACATTTCTCCCTCCTGTGTTAATTACCACCACAATTTCAGTTCACTTTTATCTTCCAAAAGTCCACTCAAATCCTGGGAGAAGGTGCCATTTGGTACAGACTTCACCGCTGCCTGGGGTTTTCTCTCTTTTTCTCCATCATCACATAAAGTGGATCATTTCATTCAGAAAATTGTGAGAACCTAAAAATGTAGTCTATTTGGTGCTTGGACACCGTTTGTGGAGTCTCTAGAAGATGTTGCCTAGCTATAGGTTGTAAGATCGTTAGTTAAATATTACCTTTAAGCTGTTGTGGGGCAGTTCGCTCAGAGAACACATCAAGTCCCAGTTTTGTCCAAATGGAAGAGTCTTTATTTAGCCAGTCAGCCAGCGACTTCTCTCTACAGGACCCATAACTGTCTCTGCAAGGAACAGCCCTGAGTCTGAGCATTTTAGGATATTTAAAGGCAAAAACCATATCTGGGTTGATGTAGCTGCAAGCAAGCAGGTACAGAAGCTGAACTGGGCAGTGAGCGAGACAATGCAGTGGGTACCTTGGTTATTTCCCAGGGGACTTTCCAGGTAGGCATAGCAGCAAGCAAGCAGAAGGGAAGTGGGTCAAAAGGACCCTACTTCAGAACAAGTTAGAGAGTGGTTACTAACATCTAGACAGTCATTGCCCAAGAAAAATGGAAACCGATGAGAACAATTTTACATTGTATAAGAATTGCCATTTTGTGTTGCCAAGGATGCTATGTTAGGCAACTATTAATGGGTACAGAGGCGGGGCTTTCCCACGGGAGAAGCATTTCTTACGTGATATGGAGGAGTCTCAGGGTAAAATGGAGTCTGTTTGGTCATTGCCCATATAGCCTGGCCCATAACATAAGTGACAACTGCCAATTAACATTGAACTTTTTGGGATGGCATTTGAAGGGAAGAAATGGTTAGTGATTCGATTTTATGATGTACTAATATGTTATTTGAACAACCCAAACTGATTATTTTTGGAAACGAGTAAGCAAATGGCAATTACTGTGTATTTTTGTTTTTCATTGTGCTCATTTTTTATTTTAAAAAAATATATATGTGTATATATAACATATATTAATATTTATTTTTTTAGTTGTAGTGGGACACAATACCTTTGTTTTATTTATTTTTTTTTAATGTGGTGCTGAGGATCAAACCCAGGGCCTCTCATGCGCCAGGCGAGTGGCTCTACCGCTGAGCCCCAGCCCCAGCCCCCATCATGCTCAGTTTTAAACACCAAGAACTTTATTGGCTCTCATATCTGGAAAAGACCTTGAAAACCTCACAGGACATCTTTTTCATTTTGTAAATGAGAAGGCTGAGGCGTTCAGGGGTTAACGACCTGCCTGTGGCAACAGTACAAATACAGAAAGTTGAGATTAAGCAACATCTTTGCTCTCTAAATTGATTTCCATTGTTTGACTCAGGAAAACTCTCTTGCAAACACCACCCAATGTAGAAGCAAAACTGTCATCAATTAAACTACTGCTTAATAGGCTAATATAAGTATATACTGCATGCATTCTATTTCCACCTGACTCTAGAAGCCTACTCTTTGGATGTCTTCCTTGATTTACTCCTAATAGCACAAAATTGAAACGGAAGCTGTAAGATGGGCAGTGATCATGGACCCAGAATCCTCCCAGAGCAAGGTACAATGTATTTAAATACATCAAAGGAGATGAAGACATGTATTATTAATTAGTTTTTCAGAACACACATGGCAGATGTGTTTGCATTTCGCTTGGTGGGATGCCAGGTCATTACTTTTTAATGTGCACACATGGAAGTAAAAAAAAATTATGCATAGTACCATACTGAGTAGAAGAAGTCCATATTGAAAATTTGTTGCAAAACATAGGATGGAGGTTGAAATAAGAAAGAGAGATAGGGAGAGGGAGAGAGAAAGAGAATGATATGCTCTTCTTAGGCGGTGTAAACAGGTTTTACGAAAACTGCCCATAAAAATCAATACTAAGGGGCTTGGACTGTGGCTCAGCAGTGCTCACCTCGCATGTGCAAGGTCCTGGGTTTGATCTTCAACATCACATAAAAATAAATAAATAAAATAAAGGTATTGTGTCCAACTACAACTAGAAAATAAATATTTTTTTAAAAAATCAGATGCTGTGGCTCATACCTCTAATCCCAGCAGCTCTGGAGGCTGAGGCAGGAGGATCATGAGTTTAAAGCCAGCTTCAATAACAGCAAGGTGCTAAGCAACTCAGTGAGACTCTGTTTCTAAATAAAATACAAAATAGAGCTGGGGATGTGGCTCAGTGGTCAAGTGCCCCTGAGTTCAATCCCTGTGCAAAAAAAAAAAAAAAAAAAAAATCAATACTATGGTTCGAATGTGACTTGTCTCCTGTGAAACTCAGGTTAAACTTAATCCCCATTATGAGATATTAAGAGATAGGACCAAGGAGGACCTTTAAGAGGTCATTAGAACTCTGCACTTATGATCGGTTAATCCATTCACTCAGTTTATGGATTAGTGGGTTAATGAGTTATCTGCAGAGAGGTCTGCTATAAAAGCTAGTTTGGCTAGGTCTCCCACACTCCCTCTCACTGTGTGATATATCCTGTGCACCCGGGGACTCTGCTAGCAGGAATGACATCATCAGATGTGGTCTCTCAACCTTGAACCAGACCCATGAACCAATATACACCTCTTTTCTTTATGACTTATCCAGTCTGTGGTGTTATGTTACTAGCAACAGAAAACAGACTAAGACAGTCAATATCTTCTGGACCATGCATTTGGTAAAACATGAAAGAACTTTCTGACAATTGGTTTTTAAAAACAGAAAAACAATTTGTTTTCAACAAGCATTTGCTGAGTGCTTCCTGAATGGTCCGAGTCTGGAGGAGATTGTGGCCCAGCAGAGGAAATACTGATGTGGGCAAGTATAACAGAAGGAGGCAAGAGTCCTGAGAAAGTACTGCTGAAAATCAGAGGAGGAAGTGGGACCTTTCAGCTGAAGAAATCAGGGCAGGCTTTGTGGAGGGTGAGCATGAAATAGGAATAGGATTTGAAATCCCGGAGAGAATGGGGACAATTAGGGCACTTATTCACCCTAGACCTTGACTGACTGTCAAGAATGGAAGGGCCAGCATGTGCAAAGGCTTGGGGGCAGGGAAATGAGCAGGGGTGGGCCAGAGAGGAAATGATGAGTAGAGAGGGGATGAAATGAGGTAAGAAGTGGTCTTCAATAAATCTATAAACATTCTAACAATAACAACTTTATTATTATTATTATCTATTTAACAGAGATTGAACCCAGGGGTGCTTAACCACTGAGCCACATCCCCAGCCCTTTTTTACTTTTTATTATGAGTCAGGGCCTTGCTAAATTGCTGCGCTTGGAAAGCTAGCCTAGAATGTGAGCAATCCTTTCATGATCCTGCTCGGCATCAGAGGGGAGGGAGGAACAGCTCCATTGTGAGCAGCCTCTGAATTAAATTTAGAAAAGCAAAGGCTGAGAACTGGAACCACAGGGTTCCCTCGTGACAACAGCCCTTGCCGACTACACACATTCTTGTGATTGGGGGTTTTAGTCCCAGGATGTGCTTCCCAGCCTGCTAAACCAAGGACTTTACACCTTCTTGGGGACTCACTAGGTGTCGGAGGGGCCTTGGTTTATGAATTCTGTTTTCTAGAATGAGTTGCTTCTGTTCGTTTCTCGTGATGTAACCAATATTTTCAACGCCTCATTGCTCGGTGTTTTCCATTTTTTTTTCCTAAGCAATGAAAAGAAAGGAGAGCCTGGGGGAGTTTTTTTGTGTTCGATGCATATGTTGAAGGATATTAAACAATTTCAGCCCAGAGCAAAATAGAGCAGGATTTTATGGCCAAGTCTTGCGTTGATAGAGTGGGCAGGCTGGTGGCCATGTTCCCTTTGCTCAAACAAATGCATCCCTGTGAAATGAACTGTCAGAAGGACCACAGGTTTAGGAAGCCTGGAGTAACTGAGGAGT